TAACATTAATTTTTTTTCTTTTTAATTTTTGAAAAGGGATTTTGAAAGGAAATCCATACTATGGGAAGCAGCAGGGAGAGAAGAATAAAATACTCTAACAATCTCCTTCATACTTCCTAAACATTTAACATCTGTGACCTTGAAGTTCAGTGTCTTGAGACTTTTGAGATGCAAATATTATGCTTCCCATTGGAAAAGGATTTAATCTCTCCAGTAGGCAATTCAGGCTCTTACTGGGGGTTGTAACACTGACCTTTTTATTAGTCCTGGACCTTATAGCACCTTAAACTACTAGCTAGGGGAAGGAGTGTGAAGTGATGTCCATATTCAGTGAGAAGAAAAGATTCTTTTCTTACAGGAGGTTAAGTTGCTGGAGAATGATGCCCATTGAAAACATTACAGTAGGTTTTCTCATTAACTGCAAGTGCACAAATGATGCAAGCCGAGGTGGCAGAAGTTGCCATTTGACACACACCACTGGGCCTGTGGACTTTCTTTTTTACCGGAACTGAGCACAATGACTGCAGTATGGGACAAAACTTGAATTTTATACAGAGCTTTACTTTAATTTGTTATCAATTGTCAGGTAATTAGTGTGAGGAAGCTGAAGTGTGACTACTGACACTGTCTGGAGAGCTGCTCCTTTCTGGCTGCTGCAGGAGTTTGAAGAGCAGAAGAACCAGGTGCTTCAAAGGATCTGCTTAAAGGCTCCTTTGCAAAGGTCACTTGTCAGTGCCATGTGAAAGTTTCACTGCATGCAGATCTAAATAATTAATCACTGCACAGCACAATCTTTTAATTTACATATATCAAGCTTTCAGCTGCCTGCAGACAAACTCCAGTATCTCTACCAGTCTTCAGACCTTTGCTCACTAGCAAAAGACACTCAGCAAGAATTTTTTGGTGGTATTACTCAAAATTGTGCCATGTCTTGGATACATATTAGCTTCAGTCACCAGATTAGGCATACATAATGGTTCCAGGATGGGATACTTTTCTCTTGCCAAGGATAGGGTTTTGGGGGTTTTTTTGGGTTTTTTTTTTTGGGGTTTTTTTTTTGGTTTTTTTTTTTGGGGTTTTTTTTTTGGTTTTTTTTTTTTTTTTTTTGTTTGGTTTGGTTTGGTTTTGGTTTTGTTTTGAGGAATGACTGCCTATAAAGAACTTCATGAATCAGTTGCCCAACAAATAGTGTTGTCTTCAAGGTGAAGGTTGACACTCAGCACAAGTTTCCAAGGATTTTTTTAGTATCTCTTAAGCACTTGATGCCCATCTCCTTTACAAAATCAACAAACTGGTGCAATCAACTCTTCAACACTGTTTCAAACTGTAGGTTTTTGTGGTCTCCTATTACATAATTGAGTACCTGGATATCAATCATGAATACAATGTGGTACTTCATCAGTAGGTCACATATATACACTAATTCATGACAAATGGGCAATAATAATGAATAATGATGGGTGTTTTCCATTTCCTTTTAGACCTCTCTCAATGATCAGCCTTCCAGAACCTGTGTTTTGACTTGCTCATAGTTTAATCTATCAGCTGTAATTTTTTCACTAGAAGTTGATAAATATTCAGTGTAAATATGTATACCATGCTCCAGGAAGTTGTCTTTAATAAAAGACGTCTGACACTCTGAGATCTTATTAGGCATCTGAGTTACAGTAAATTTGTGTCCTTTAATCTTAGCATCTAACTCTTTAGTGCATAAATATTTGTTGAAATTCAAGATGGTAAAATTTTCTGTTTCTGTTTCTTCTCAAGTATTAAGCCTATCAGCAAAAGAGCCAAATGGATAAAGAAACATTTCACTATTTCCCTTGGGTGTATGGGTGTATTGTCTTCTTTGGAAACAAATCTAGCAGCTCTCTAAGAGCCAACATGAGCACGCTGTTAATGCAGATTGTCCCTGGTCTAACTATAACTGTTAAGATATTATTATGGAAATTTCTGCTTTTTGCTGACAGCAAATGATAACACCTTAATAAGAAACATGTGTCCCTATTGATCAGCCTCACCCTTCCCTCATTCTGGGCTTGTGTAAAGTGCAGATGTCCTTTCCATGTTATGTTTCCTCTCCTAACACGAATTCAGTGGAAGTTCAGTGTAAGCAACCTCTCAGCAGCTATAGGCATACAGATCATGGTGTTATTAAAACATCACTCACTCTTTGAACTTCCTCTGCCCTGATACATCTTCTGTAAAATCTGGGAGCTTTTCCACTTTCTTTTTTGCTTTGTGCCCAGCTTTGGACATTTCTCTCACTGTTTGAGACCAGCTGGTTGCACAGCAGGGTCCAGAAAGATGCACCATGTACTGACTTACTGTAAATCCCACAGTGACTGGGATAGTTCATGGTAGACAAACCTGGACATTTTAAAAATTAGCTGTAATTTAATTTAATCTGTTTTTCAAGTAAAAATGAGCTTTGTGCTGGATCTAAGCCATTTCCGACCCCACATCTACCATTTAGGTTTCTTGAAAGTAAAAGAGGGGCACTTTTGACAATTTTTCTTGGTAAAATGGCTTTCCCTTGCCTTTTCTTGCCCTGCAATCTGTGTAATTGAAAGTAAGTTTATTTAAAAGACACCCTGAAAATTCAATGCACAACCTCAATTTAATTTTTTAGGTCTTACATCTTGCCACAGAAACCTTATTAATTAAAAAAAAAATAATTAAAAAGTCAAAACACACCCAAAACAAAACAAAAAAAAAAAAAGAAAGCCCCAAGCAAACAGAAAAATCTGGGAAAATTCCTACTTTTTTAGAAAAAGCAGCTGAACGATGAAATGTATTATTTGCACGACTCCAGCCCAACTGTAATCCCCGACACAAAGATCCTCTGTATTTTAGAGCTGGTATTTGCCAACCACTCCTTGGGGCATTCTGCTCTCACTCCTCTCTCCTCGTGCTGCATTTAGCAGAGCCCAGTGCTATTTGTGGTTGCAGCCCCTCCAAAGCTTATTATGCCCATATTTCAAGTACAAAAGCCAAAGTAACTTGCAGTTTCTCCCTAAGTAGTCCCAGTGTTTTTGGATAGATTGTATAATGCAGCTCAGGCTCATGTGCTAATTGTTAATTTTAGAATTTAAATGGGTTTTGTTCTATTCAAAGGAAAAAGGCTGAAGGTTTCTGAAAACTCTGAGTTTGGGAAAACGGTTTGGTCTCTTTTGGAGTTTGTGAGTGAATTAGCTCTTACATCCATGGAGACATCCTTAAATTATACTTAATTCAAAAATCTTTCAATTTTGCTGAATGAGTATGCTTTTCTGGACTCTAAAATAAGATTAGAATTATTTTTAAGGTACATTATCTCTAAAAAATATATGGGATATTAGTTTATGTGAACATAGATTTTGTACTAATTTTTGTAGCCAGTAATGGTGGTATCCCAAAGTACAGTTGGCTGTGTCAGGTTATGTTTCATTTTGAACAATCTTGTTCCTAAACACTGAGATGATCTTCTGTTCCTTTCTGAATCAAAACCCTATTCCTGTTATCCATCCATTTACAAGTTGACTGATATTTATATACTTTGCTTATTTTCAACTGCAGCAGGTTTTTAAACAGAGATGAATATTTTAATCTGCTGTTAGGCTGCTTTTCACATGGCATGTCAAAAAACCAAACCCTATCTGTCTGTGTGGTTTCCAAATTAAACCTAGTTTCCAATAGCAAAATTAGATTCAGATGTAGGGTTTTAATTTGAATTAACTTAATTTGGCAGTTGTAAGTGACAGGAGGATTGGAAAGGAGAAGAAAGAAGAAGTTGGCTAATTTCAATGAGGTATTTGTGTTTAACAGTGAGGGCTAATAATGCCCTTTTTCTGTATCCTGGTTTGGTTTATTTTCTTTTATGCCATTATTTGTGTTTAGTGAACAGCTGGGCCAGTAGTTCCCATTTGTAGTCTTTTAGCTCTGTAAAGTAGGAGAGAAAGTAATGGACGTTTGCAAATTAATGCTTACCCTTATTTTCTGCTCATCTGATGCAGTTCTCCTTTTGGAGCATAGATGTAGTATCAGAGCAGAAGTAATTACTGTGTTAAAACTAGGATTGCAGTAGAATATTTTGCTAATTAAACTTGTTGCATTTAAATTGCTTCCTTTGGATCACTATATAGAAGAGAACTATTTTGAACAATAAATGAAACCACTTTCTTTCTCAGAGACCCAGAATTGCAGATGGTCAGATTGTATGTGAAGCACCTAGACTCTGAATTAGGCTTTTGTATGAAAGGGAGAAAGGTAATTTGAATGTTTGAACTCCCTGTTCCTCCCACACATACACAGGAAGCTTGCCTCAAAATGAACAATTCTCTAAATAAAGACTAATAAGAAGCTAAATTAATTAGAAGGTGTGATTTGAAAAGACATTGATGAGAAGAGTCTGTCATTTCAGACAAATGGAATGGAGCTAAATAAATTAGGCCACATTAATATCTCATTGTTCTGTGAGAAGCTTTCTTTTATTGCATTCATTAGAGGGTACTTCTTGAAATGAGCCTTTACTAGCCATTATGGATTCAGTTCTCATTTACCAATGCCTAACACACAGCTCCCACATTAAAAATGTTTCAGCAAATCCACATAGTTTTCTGCAAATTAATATTTATATTTCTGGATGCTGCACTTCTTATCCACATCATAGTAGGCATTGAACATTAAGATTTTCTCTCACTGAATTGTCAGTAAAGAAGTCTTACATCTAAAGATTTGGGAAGCAGAAGTCTGAAAATACTTCATAAAATAAACTGTATGCCTATCTCATACAATAGGATATTCCTCCAACTAATATTCTTTCCAGTATTTATTTATTTTGATAGAAAATATTCTGTCTCATGACTTCAGTGGTCCTTTGATAGCTTTTTAAAGTGTCTTTTAAAAGGTTCCTTCAGTGTATAATTAGGATACATTGGAAATGCGCATCTCATCACGCTGTTTTTCCTCTCAGAAAACGAAATGTGTATTTTTCCTTTTCTTTTTTCTCTTTCCTGCAGATGGAATATTTGGGAGATGTCAGCAAGTGCCAGTAATAGACATCTATAAATATGACATTTCAGCCCCTGTTCTGCAGCACCTGAGGATCATCCTGGAGCAGCTCTCACACAGAGGTACAGTCAAAACTAGAGTGGGGTTAGATGCACTGGGGTTACAATTATTTGTGCTCCCTCTGAGGTGATTTCTCCAGAAGTTTTTGAACACATTTGTGTTTCAGCCCTGCTGGTGAAGACTTTATAAAAGTAAAAAGCCTTTGGATTCACTGAATCAGCCAGGAGAACCTGGGGAAGCAATTCCAGGAGAGGTGTTTCCTCCCTGAGTAGCACATGTCTGTGACTGACACTGCACTAGAAAATGTTAGCATTCATGAATGCTGGTGTCACATAAATAAATCAGTAGGAAAGGATAAAAGTTTGCCTTCTGCACCACAGCACATTTTAGGGTGCAGGGGCAGAAAACAGAAAACTTCCAGTTAGCTGAAAACAGTTCTGAACTTTCTAATAAATTCAGATAAAAACCTGCTCTGATTTCATTACCAGCTGCAGCTGGTCTGTTTCTTTTAATTTTTGTTCACCTTTTCAATGTTAATCTCTCTGCTCTTTCCAAAGCCAGAAAGGATTTTCTAGCTTTTGAGTGGCATAACTTGAACTAACAAATCAAAACTTGAATGAAGTGAAAGCCAGTAAGGTGAACAAACCTTTCAGATACTAATACATGACATAAATATCTCTTGTAGACAGCCGCTGGACCAAGATATTTTTGTAATCCAAATTGTTCCAAGAGTATTGCTACAATGTTTAACTTTGCACTTGCATCATCTGTATGGGCGTTTGTACCTAAATGTTTTCCAGTTACAATCTTGATGACAAAGTAGTAATATTATATTAGTGTGATGCTAGTTTAAATATGACAAAAAATTGGTTTCTGAGAAGTTTTGGACTCTGCTTAGAGACTGGACTTCTAGTTGGGACACTCATTTAGAGCATGTAAAAATTTTCCAGGGATTTATTTGCTGTCCGGCAGCCCATCCAAATGAGACAAACTCAGCAAAACTTGATTGTAGTAGCTCCTGCCTGATTAACAGTTACATGTAAATAGTACTTGTGGGTCTTTCACTTGTCATTTTCTAAAGGCTAAGTAATGCAAGCAAGTCATGAAAATACTCTGTTGTCAGGGCAACATTGTATGAGTGAAAAAACTTGTGTCTGGGTTCTATTCAAATATAGTGAGGAAGGAGGAGAGGACACATTAATCTCATTAGGTCACCTAAATAAATACCTAAGGTGATGGTGCACACATGGACAGGTAGCAGTTATTTGCTTCACCTGAATAGGTCAGGTATCCTATGTAAAGTGCCTCCTGTGAGGATGTCAGAGGTCAGAGATCTGCCGGAGACTGATATCCTTGTGAAGGGAACAATCAGAGGGAGATGGGATACCCCAGGCCATCTCAAAGGATGCTCACCTGCCTCCATCTCCCTGTTGACCATAAGATATTGGTTAGTTCAATGGAACTGATGTGGCCTCCCCTTCCAGGTGCTCCTCTGTTCAATAAAACCACCCTTCCTAGGACTTTTGTTATCCATAACCCACCTCCCTGGATTTAACTTTTTTGTTTGAGAAAACCCTAGTATGCTTCTTTTAAGGGAACTTGCACACTGAAATTTGGTCTTGTCTCATTGTTTCTTATAGCAAGAAAATGACAAGGAAAACACAGATTGAAGCCATGGTAGAAGTAAAGGACTTTTGCTTTCATCTGCTTTACCAGTTACATTCAGAAATGCACACACAAATGTGTGAATTCAAACTGATACAAAACCTTTGCAAGCTATTTTTGTGGTCTCTAGGTATCCCAATGAAGGAAATCTTAAATATATCTATGAAACATAAGAGAGTGCTGGAATGCTCTTGCTCAAATCATTGATGTGATAAAATAACTTTCTTTTTACTCTTAGTATCTTGCAAATTTTGTCTAGTGGGGACAGAAATATGAAAGGAGTAGAATCAATACTATCAAATTGATGGATTACTGACATAAGGTTGCTCAGACAAGACTCTGCTGCTTACTGGTGTTGTCAGATGTAAAACATCCAGCCCCCAGATTGTGTTTGCTAGCTGTGGTCACTCTCACAGTTAATGCTGTTCTCCTGAATGGTATGCAAAATGGGATAACCATTTCTACAGTAAAGCTAGACAAAGCATTGCCAGGACTGCACTAATACTTCAGGCAACTACCAGAAAGGGCTTAATTTTTTCAGAGGTCTTATTTCCTTTATTTGTGTGATACCCCATTCTTGTCATCTCCAAAAGACTTCTGTCTAGCTCAACTTGGGGGTGCCCACCTTCCCTGGAATGGATAGGGGACAGCATCTATTTTCTGCTTTCTGTAAACAGCAGGATAATGTTCCCTTGAAAGACTATACAGTTGGTGTTGTGATTAGTAAAAATTTTAGTAATGCCCATGTTGAACCCTTTCTATTTTTATTAGATGTATATGCAGTTAAGGAAGAAATATTCTGAGGGTAATTAACTTGAGTGGTCATCTAGGTTCTTATTTATTTATTTTTCTTATGTGACTTGGTTTGTCTATTTCATTTCCTTCATGATGTATTCTTGCAGAATTACTAAGATCTTCCTTTTCCTCCCCAACCCTGAAAATAGTCTGTTGACATCTATTTCCATTGGATTAAAAAAAAAAAAAAGGCAATAGAAAACCTTGTAAAATGTACATTGTTTTTCATCCCTCTTTGCTGATTGCTTGTAAGTAAGTGGTGCCTATGTTTGAATCATGGCCCAAATGGAACAGTGTGTGGTGAGATGTACAAAACAAAGGACAATGCGATGTGAATAGCAAATAGAATTTGTGACTCTGCCAACTCGAAATGTTTACTACAATGGGGAAGAATAAGTCAGAGGCTTAGATGAGTGACACACCTGATGATAATCTATTTAATAAAGGACTTTGACTAAAATTGAATCCAGGTTTCATAATGATACAGATTTTATGTCTTCTTTACACTTTTGAGTCTATCTTTGTCTACACTATTGACTGGGTAGATTGATGATAGAAATTGAATGCCTTGGAATATTAGACAGTTCCCTACAAAGAAATGATCTGTTAGCATTCAAATACCCTTGCTCATGTCATTTTCACTCACGCTGTCCTTGAGTCCTTCAAACCCTCATGAAGATTTTCTGAAGGTTCAGTGTTTATAAATGAGTCTGTCTGTATGGGAAAAACCCTTCTCACTGTTGCTGAAACATGACAAATCACTTTCTGAAGCTGATGGTACTTTATATTATAATCCATAATAATTTATGAGGAAATGATATATTTTTCATTGTCTGATATACAGGACAGTAAAAAAAATGCCATGTGGGTGGGTCTGAATCATTTGAAAAAGGAAGTGAAGGAAGTATCAGTGTAGAGGAGGGCATGAGTAGTGCCTGAAGGAAAGGGAGATACTTATCCCTGTGGTTGGTCTTCTGCATTCTCTTGTCCAACTTGGAAGAAGATACTTTATGGAGTACACAAGAATGATAAATCATGTGTGCATTTCCTGGTTTGAGCTAAAATGCAGAAAATACTTTTTCCTATTTTTTTTTACCTAAGTGCATTAAATTTATTAATTTTTTTCCTTTTCTTCTTGTCCCTACAATAGTCACGTTTATATTGTAAAGGCAAAGTATTCACTAAAATAAGATTCTTAACAAGGTTGTGGAAACAGTTCCGCATTGATTATTGACCTGTACATCAGAGCCATGAAGAGATGAGATAGGAGAGCTAAGCGTGGGACATCATAACTCAAACATGAAGCATAAACAGTCCTTGAAATAGCACCAGAAGCAACAATAAATGAGAACAGTAGTATTTTTCAACTTGCATGCTCCAAGAGGTATTTGTGTGTGTTCCATGGAATTAGAAATAGTGCCAGTGGTTAGAAATGATAACGTGGTACTAACTCTGTGAGTGTGCAGCTGCCACAGCAATGGGCATCCCCTGAGGGAGGAGCTCAGAGGTGGAGGCTGAAGGACACACTTCCTTAAAAACATCAGGACAAGAGGATTTGCTCAGGATCAAAACAAATGCCCATCTGACTTGGGATTCTGCCTCTGAGAGAGGGCACTGTATGTTTAGGGGAAAAAATGGAAGAAGATTCCAAGCCCAGAGAAGTATTTTGCATGTTTGTACCTTAGCGCTGTGTCCATGGTGTCTCCTGAGCTGGAAGTTGTGTTTTTGTGTTTGCTCCCTGCTCTGTGGCCACTGTTTCTAGCACAGCTTGACAGGTTGGTGTGTGTGGAAAACAAAGTATGTTAGACTAATAATCAGTATTTCAGCTTGTTTTCTGTTTTACTCAAAACGTAACTGAATTACCTCTATTTTCACTTTTCTGCAGGAAATGGGTAGAGTGACTGAAAAACAGATCAGTTATATATATTCTTTTTATAATTTTATGTGAACTGGACTCATTCCTAAAAATTCCTCAGTATGCTTGCTACCACTTAATTTTTTTGCAATAAGACCTTGTTCAAAATGATAGTTTAAAAGAAAGCAGTTTATTTCACTCTGTTATGAAGAAAGTCCTGCTTAAGATATTCAGATATCAACAGTAATATTAAGAGAACCAAAAAGAGTAGGATGTGCTTTTAAATTCACGTGGCTTAAGTCAGCAAGAAATTCTGGAGAGATTCATGGACTGTGGAAATAGGCAACATATTTACAGATTATTTGAAAAGCATAGTATTTTTCCCTCTTGTTTGCTTTCTTTGCAATGCAGGAAGCTCTTGACAGGGAGAAAAAAAATTATCTGTCTTAAATTAATTTTAACCAGTTAAGTGTAAGGTGATTAATATAACTTTGCTAGAAATAATTTTATACTCTTACAACAAATTTGTTTAAAAAATTGAAATGATTTACAATCAGTTAACTTGAAAATTGAAATGAATGTGACCTGTCACATACAGCTTGTGAATTACAAAAGGGTTGCTAAATATTTTTTTCACTCAGGACTATTTTTCAAGAAAAAGTATAATTTTTTTTTACTCCAAGAAAGGTAAGAGTTGAATATAAATCATTATAAGCTCAGTTTTGAAATAAACTTAAAAGGAATAGT